TCATCAAATCCTCCTGATGTTGCAAAAGATATTGGCTGACCGCCTTGCTGCCATGGCTGCGCGCCATACCAGCACCATATTTCCAGATCCTCCAATGTTTCGGTAGCTGAGCAAAGATGGGAACATGTGAGCCTTCGCCCCTCGCTGCCAATAAAGGAAAATCATGCAAACCGTGCGCCTGCTTGGAGAGGCCTGTAGCCTGGCATCCTTTTGCAAAGACATAGTCCAGCTGCGAATTGACCCCTGCATGACTGTACGTGAAGCGACGCTTATCATGAAAGGTGTTGATAGCAATCATCCCATGTTGCCGAAGGATGGAGATTAACTCTGCCTCGTCTCTGCCATCTCGATAAGCCTGTTTGGAGACGGCAGTGCCAGTAACACCAGCGGTTTTGGGAAGCTGAACATTCATGTCACCGACTATCAGAACTTGGTTCCTTGCAGGGATCTTGTCGAGGCAGTCCGCAATGGCCTCCCACACTTTCTGGCGTTCTGCACGCACCACTTCCACTGATGCATGTGACCACACCTTCCGGTACACGTTGAGGATGTCCAGCCCGCCCTTAGAGTCATAGATGCGAACATGCTGTACGCGACCGTTGGCAAGAGTGCCTGATCTAATGCATTCCTTGGAGGCCAGCTTGTGGCTGATCAGGGTCAGCAACCCGCCATTCCTTCCAGTGCCATGATGTATGGCAAAGTATGCACCATTATTCCAATCACTCTGATACGGCCACCATGTTTCCTGTACACAGCAGATCTGAATTCCCTGGGACATTAACCAGTTTTGCAACCCATCCCAATTATGAGCAGCCAGGCCCCCTGCGTTCCAAGAGAACAAAGAGTGCTTGGCCCGCATATCCCCAATACAGTCATGCGCCACTGCCTTTGAGAACTGCGCTGGCTGACATGAGGAGACATATCGGTTGCCAAGGTCCGCACTGGACACCCAACGACCCCTGTACCAGGTGCCTCCTGCAGAGGATGTTGCCGCACGGCGGCATGCTCTTTTGTAGGCTCTTTTGGCTACTTGCAAATTAAAATGTCCTGCATCCACATGCTTCGCTCCGACGCGCCCGCAAGGAGCACCGCCAGAACTCCCGGCAGCCCGTGGAGACTGCCAACCCTCACCTCTGCGCAGCAAAGTGGCCTCTGTACTAGAAAAATTGGCATGCTGCGTCGCCGGACTTGGGACCGGCGCTGACTCATGAACATGTTCAGGAGGATGCGCGTGCTGATGTGCTAGCAGGGCATTCTGAAGGTCCTGGAAGAGGGCCATGGCCAGCCTCGAGCTGTAGGAATCTGCGAGAAGAAAATCCTGGATGTCGCTTGCGCATGCAATATCTCCCGTTAGGTCAGCTCCGAACCTTGAGCATGCCTCTCGACGCAGCAACCTGGACACCTGCCTGTCAAGAAACCACGGAGACCAAACAAGGTAATGGCCAGTGCGTACGCCTCAACCTCGCATATGACCTGCTCTCCGGCCGTGGCATGCCACCGTTTCATGAGACAGTCGGGCACCTGTCCCCCGAAGATCCACCTCTGGCTCGTCACGGGGTCTAACATCAAAGCTCCCCACGTTCCGACACCTTTCTCAAAGGCCCCATCGGAGTAGGCAGAACGGCGGCAGGGCAAACCCTAGGCTTACACATCCCCAAAATATCATTGGCCAGCGCGCAAGCTTCCCTTAGAGCCGGCGTGTTCCCAAGAAATACCCCGGACAGGGCTCTCGAAAGCATGCGGGCCGTAGGCTTAAGCTCGAACCCCAAAACGTAGCCGCCTGCAAAATTGATCAGCCCATGCAGAGAAGCCAGCTGAGACCTAGTAACGGGCTCACCCGCTATTATGGGCTTCAGCATCTCCGCCAGCTTCGCCAATCGGCCTGGTTTGTTGGAGACCCTGATCTGGCCATCCCATACACTAGTTAAGTCCAGAGTGACCCCTAGGGAAACAACCGTAGAACCGAACGGCACGAATTTCTTGCCCTCTTTGGCAAAGGACCACCCTAGGATGGATAAAAGCCTCATTGCAATTTTGTCAAGCAAGCTGGCGGCCGGTTGAAATTCGAAAAGGGTGTAATCGTCGTAGAAATCCGTGGCCAAGGCCATGAATTTAACCACGAGGATGCGCAAGACGGCCAAGGCGATTTTGTTAAAGCCAAAGACGCTGGCAGAAGCCCCGAAAGGCAGGGAGCAGGCCAGGTAGTACTGCCAGGACCCTTCTTTCCCCGGAAATCCAAGGACCGCGTGCTTCCTGGAATCGGGATGAATCGCTACTTGGCGGTAGGCTTTGCTTAGGTCTAATGTTTTGTCGAGAAGCGGCGGCCGGTGCTTCATCTCAGGGCAAAGACGCCCACGCAGGGAAGTCCCATCCTGCATGGGAATGTCAACACTGCCTTCCCCTTGCACCGACCTCGAAATGAAACGTAGCAGGCCCACGGTGAAATCAGTATCCTGCAAATCCAGGTAAGACGAGGACGCAAAGGCCTGGTTAACCGCTGAGGCCTTCAGATCATCTATGATCCGAACCTTGCTGTCTTCCCCTTGCCTGAGGAGGAATCTGGGAGACAACGACCACAAATTGGTCCCAAGCTGGGCCGTGACTTCGCTCTCAGAGTGGTATGGGCCTGTCATAAACCCTGCTTGCACTTCACTGGTAGTCTCGTCAAGAAGGTCCTTGAGATCGCTGGGATCCAGAGTTCCACGCATGGCTTTCAAGGACTCCCTCCGCAGGACACACTGAGCTTCCAGCTGTTGTTCCTCACCAACTAAGGGCACCCCCTTTACCAACAAATCCACTACACTCATGTCTGGAAAATTGGTCTCTTCAAGAAGTGTTTTGCAGACCAAAATGGCCTTGCCCTTAGTGACGGCCTGGACATCAGGGTGCATTGAGGACCTCACTGTCGATTCCTCGCCTGGCAATCTCTCCACCATCTCGTTGACCTCCCTCAAAGCCTGAAGTCTCATCCTAGACACGGCAACAGGGCCTTTGGTTAAAATCAAAAACAGGTTTTTCCTAAGGGGGTCAGGCAGCCTATGTGAAGAATCACCCGGGCAAGGGAGGCCCTGCGCTATCTCCATGCGTTCCTCCATGGTGTGGTAAACACCCACCACGTCATCGGGCTTTACCGAGACCGTTGGTCTGGCTGATGGATCAGATCTCACCCCCGCATTGGAGGAATCAGCTGGGTGAAGAAGCTTAATGTCGCGGCCGGCTGGCACATCCATGAATCGCATTGTGCATTTGAATTCGGGAATGAGGGGCGGCATGGCCACATGTTGGTGCTGAGCGGTGGCTCGGACCTCAGCACGCAGCAGCCTGGCTCGTTTGGCAGCGGGGCGATTGGCACTGGAGCCTGGCAGGGCTGCCTCTGCTTTGCTGCACAGAAAGTCACATAGCTGTGGCGCGCACTCAGCTTCTTCCTTGGTCGGAAAGACCCATTTGCCTGCGACATGTGATGGCTTCCACGAAAGATGGGGATGGCTGTTGTCGCACGAGAGCTGCAGTCCATCGAAGACCTGGAGCCAAACATGCAGGCATCGAAATCATAATCCTGAAGGGCGAAGTACCATTCGGCGAATGCCTTGTGGCCGAATTGTTTTACCAAGGAAGCCAACAAAGGCCACAACCAGCTGCGAACAGGGTTTTCAATCGTGAGCAAGGCCCCAGTTTGGTAGGCACGGAACAAGATTCGAACGCAGGCCCGATAGACGGCATTTGCCGCAGCCACTTGCTCGGACTCGAAAGGCCTGAGACCGGACAGGCCGAACAATGCATCGGGGCCGCGGAGTGGTCTGGCCCCTTATTCTTTTGAGCAATCCTTTACCAAAACATCCATAATAAGAAAACAAAGCCAAAAATCAAATATCCATCACGAATATCAGATTCATAAACATTCACAAATCATATCAATCAATACCTCTCACCTGAGTGTACTCAACTGTTGACTGACATGATGCACAGCACAAGACTAATCGAGACTCTCTCTTTTTCAATGACGGGGGAATGCACGAAGTGCCTAGCATTTGCGCGTTACGCATGGCCTAAGCACAAAATCCATAGCCGTGGATCCAATGAGCACACACGCTCACGCACGGATGGAAATCAGGAACGGCCACATCCCCCCCCCCCCAATTTTTTTTTTTCATCTGGGTGGGTGGGTCACAAAAATTGTTCTGACAGCCTAGTCAGAGCTTGAGGTACGCACGGAACAACCAGCATGATGTTCCAAAAGCAAATTCCAAGTCAAGACACTGCATGGCCACATGACATGGATTTTTCAACACTTGATTTTGGAGAGGAAATTGTGAACACCACAATTTTGGAAATCCCCAAAACCAAAACAAAACAAAGAGACGTTTTTGTAAAGGACGGTGCCATAGCACCTGTTTCGTTTCGT